CATGGGCTGGGTTTTTCATCCCCATGATGTTTGTTCTTTGCTGTGGACCTTGCACCTTGTCCTCACTCTGAACAAGAGAACTGGTGGTGTAGTGGTTGCGAGTTGGGCTGCAATCGTCATGGTGGGCAGTTCGAAACCACCATCAATCCCAAGGAAGACTGAGTGTTCTCCTCACATAAACAGTTACAATCTCAGCAACCCACAGGGGCTGCCTATGAGTCAGCACTGACTCGATGGCATTGAGTTTTCTTTTTTCGGTCACAGTGTCTTCGAAGAGTGTATTTCCTTCATGCCTTCCAAATGATTTGAACTTTTCAGGAATGCACCTTCTGGGTAAGTAAATTTTTCTTTTTTCCTTTGCCTGACAGATGAGACTACCCTAATGCTGCGCTTCACAGCCGTGTTAGTCAGCGTGTTTCCATTAGAGCAACAATACTTCAGCCTGAGCTCTGTGGGGACGAAGGAACCTGTCAGGAGAGCAGAAGCTGGCCTCATTGCCACCACATTCAGGTGTTCCCATCTCTGAAGGGGGGAGGCAAATATGTCACCTGCTACACATAACAACGAAGAGGACAAGGACAAGTTTGAAGATGCTTATGAAGTGATCCCGGTGGCAACAACAATGAATTTACTGTCTTCCCTAGAAGAAAGCACAACCGGACTATACTTGTTTCTAAATAACAAGTTCTCAGATGCCATAAACCTCATTTATCCCTGGTCTCATGACAGCATGTACCATGCTCTGATTTATGACATCCTCATGGTGGTCAAGGCCATCCTGACTTTTGAACCCCAGGATATACATATTGGAATGACCACTGCAAGAAACGCCTTGAAAACCTGCAACCGGTTCCGAGGAAAATCCAGGCTAACGTTTTCATCCCATGTAGGGTTTAAACAGGGAATCAGATCTGTCAGAGAAGAGGAATTGCATGCAGAAGTCTGCTATGCAGAGTGCTTGATCTTGAAATCCGCAGTAACATTTATTCAGGATGACTCTATGCTTGGCTTTCTCAAAAACGGGATTAACGTTGGACTGAGTTACCAAATATACAAAAACTGTCAGCAAATCTTAATACAGATACCGAACCACCAAAGCAAAGCCCATAAACATCTCGTGGGAGGTATCAAGTTTGGACTTGGAGCATTCAATCTGATATTATCCCTTGTGCCGCCAAGGACACTTAAATTGCTCAATATGGTGGGCTATTCTGGTGACAGGGAGATAGGCTTGGCTTTGCTTCATGAGAGCGCATCTGAGAACCATATCAATAATATCTTAAGTGTTTTTACTCTACTCTTCTATTACAATTACATTTCCATAGCCTTTGGTATTGGAAAAGGTTACCTTTCCAATTCTGCTACTGAGGGTCTCTTCCTAACCAACCTTCAGAAATTTCCAAACTGTGTCATTCTTATATTTTTCCATGCACGTTTTAGAATGCTGACGGGACACTTTGAATTAGCCCAGGAAAAGTTACGGCAGTGCATTTTTATTCAGAATGAATGGCAGCAGATCAATCACCTCTGTTACTGGGAACTCATGTGGTGCCACATTTTCCTGCAGCAGTGGAAGGAGGCTTACCACTTAGCCAGGTTGCTGTCTGAACACAGCCGATGGTCCAAGGCCATCTCTACATACAGCCAGGCCGTCATACTGGCCGTGCTTCCCTCTGTTTCTGTAAGTGAAGACATGAATGCGCTTTTTTTAAAAGTGGATAGCCTGAGAATAAGGATTTTTGGAACTTCTGTGCCCATCGAGAAGTTTGTTGCTGAGAAAGGTGAGCGCTACGGTACTACTACCGACTGGTTCACAGCACAGCCCATCCTGGAGTTCCTGTACGCCTGGAGCGGCTTCCGAGTCATGAGCAAAAGGCTAGACCTTGTCTCCAAATGGCTCTCCATCATCGACAAAGGAGAAAACATGTTAAGAGAAAACCCAAGTAAAGAGTATGGTGAGGACGACATAACTTTGATAAATTTATTGAAAGGCCTATGCCTGAAACACATGGGCAAATATTGGGAAGCTGAGCAGCACTTTAACCACGTCATCCAAAGGGAGAAGTTGTTGAGATATGATCGCTATTTGGTGCCATATGCGTACTATGAACTGGGGATCCTACATTACCTAAAAAGGGATTATGCCAGTGCACTAAAAAGTCTAGACAACATCAAAAACTACAAAGACTATGCCATGGAGGCCCGGTTGCAATTCAGGGCTCACATTGCCCAGGAACAAATAACCAAAGAAACAGCTGCCTGAACCCAAAACCTGGTTTCCCACAGTCTGCAGGAACTAGCCACCCCAAGTAAGGTAACGAATGCATAGATGACTCATTTCTTTGTGGAAGAAACTCAAGAAGATGCAGCCGTTAAGAAGCTGCTGACCAGTAACAACGAAGAAAGGGATTGGCCGCTGCCCTTGCCCCTTTCCCTGTTCCGTATCTATAAAGTGGAATGTCTCAGACTGGCAAACGGAGTGATGCACATTCTTGAAAATGAAAAGGTAAATGCTTCACCTTCTAGAATATACCCTGCTATGTGATGCGTTTTCCAGTTAGGTTACACAGCATTTCCCAAAGTGTAAGTGAGATTCTTTAATGTCTCTCAAAGCAATGTTTACAGCTCCCAAAGAATACAGGTCCAATAGCTACACTAGAGATCTCCGCACCTTGTAAATGTTTTGTATCTAATCGCTTTTTAAAAAACGACTTCAAGGGTCTTACTGACACGTCAAAACACCACAGTGAGGGTGGGGGGGGTGTGAGAAAAGGGGTAATCAATCACATGGATCAACCTAGAACCCTCTCCCAGGGAAAAGTGGGTGAGGGGTGGTGAAGGATAATGTAAGGTATGAGAATAATAATCTATAACTTACTAAGGGCTCGTGAGGGAGGG